AATTTTGATCCAATCAGAGTGGTAGACAGTGGTAACCAGGCACCATCTAGTTCTCCTGGTCTCAATGTCCTGTACAGTGAGATATCCATGGTCCACTTGTCCCTTGGACTAATCGTTCCCTTGCAGTTTTGATTTTCTTCACTTTTTTTTGCTCTGGATGAGGAGAGATCAATCCTTGCACCTTAGATGGTTGCTTGCAAGCTGTTGAGAACCTAGCCACAACTCATCAAAGCAGTATGTAGAATAATATTTTTGTGTATAATGCTATACCAGTTGAGCTTGATTTCCCCCATGACCATGCTCCCAAGCTGCAGGCCTAATGACTCACTTCCTCAAGGTGTTTTGCTTTGCTAAGAAGTTATCATCATAATTTTGTCCTTTGTTAGCTCTATTATATACAAAACTAAAAAACAAAAACAAAGCAAACAAACAAAAAAAACCCAAACTCACTGCCATCAAGTTGTTTCCTACTCATAGCGATGCTCATTGGATTTCTGATGCTGTAAATCTTTATGAAAGTTGATCACCCCATCTTCCTTCTGTGGAATGGATGATGGATTTGAACTGCTGACCTGCTGGTTAGCAGTCAAGTGCCTTAGTCAGTACACAACCAGAGCTCCTTTTATTATATATATATAAGAAATTTTTATAGCACATACAAATAGGTATGTAGAAATATCATGAGTATATTCCCTTTTGCCTACCCATCCCAGATCATCTTTTCTGTCTACTTACATGTCCACCTGTAGATTAATGTTTGTTATTATTGATAATGCAGTATTTTGTATGTAAAAATATTTACCTTTGTTGTCTGTACCTCTTGTGCACCTCTACGTGCCTTCCTTTTCCTTAGTGATATTGTGCTGGTCACATGAGCCCATTGTTGTAGCCACTATATCAATCCTTTTTGCTATAATGCCTTTTGCTATAATGCCTTTCCAGTCACCCAAATCAATACGTGTCTGTTACCTAGCTGTTACCTAGCAGTTTTCCTCCTATCCCCTTCCATCCCTGGTAACCAACAAGGAAAGTTTTCTTCTATGTGTAAACTTTTCCTTGACTTTTTATAATAGTGGACTCACAATATTTGTCCTTTTGTTATTGACTTACTTCATTCAGCATAATGCCCTCCAAGTTCATCCATGTTATGAAGTGTTTCACAGATTCTTCATTACTCTTTAATGTTGCATAGTATTCCAGGAGCTCTGGTAGCATGGTGCCTAAAGCACTTGATGGTTAACAAGAAGGCTGGTGGTTCAAACCCATCAGCCACTCTTTGAAAGGTTGGGCAATCTACTTCCGTAATGATACTGCCTCAGAAACCCAAGGAGGGGTTGCTATGAGTCGGGTCCGACTTGATGGCACATAACAACAACAGTATTCCATTGTGTGTATGAACCATAATTTGGTTACCCATTCACCCATTGATGAGCACTTAGACTGTTTCCATCTCTTTGCTATTGTGAATAGTTTTGCAATGAAAATAGGTGTACATATATCTGTTTGTGTCATGGCTCTTATTTCTGTAGAATATATACCTTGTAGTGAGATTGCTAGACCATATGCTATTTCTATTTCCAGCTTTTTTAAGGAAGCATCATACCATTTTCCACAGTGTTTGCAACATTTTACAGTCCCATTGGCAATGTATAGGGTTTCAGCCTCTCCATACCCTCACCAGCATTTGTTGTTTCTATCTCATTGAACTTTGTTATTAAGAAAAGCATTTTTTTGAGTTGTTTGAACTTGACCACTATTTGGGGGTGCAGTGTAAGAAGTCTTCAGATATGTGGGAAAATGGACTGGATGATCCCTATGATTCTTTTCCCAATTCTGGCATTTCAGCAAGATTGTATAATTCTCCTAATAGAATTAAAGACAGGCCTGGCTGTGTGAAGCCATGCTGGAAATTGCAAAATAAAGACAAGCTATCAAGGAGAACCTGTTGATATAAAAGCAGGATACTGCTGAGTTGTATCAAGATAACACAGTGAGCAGTGATCAGATCCTCAGTATATGTAGTTTTTAGGTCCTAATCAGGGAAAAAAAAAATGTAGAGAACCAGGCAAAATTCCAGGGATAGCTAGCAAAAGAAATTAAGTGGGGAGGAAACTGGAAAGATGGTTAAATTGTTTGAAGAAAATAAGAATAAAATGATCTAAATCAAACATATGAAAAATGATAGTATGAGCAATGGGAAGTGACTATATTCAGTTTCCCTAGAAGACAGAATAAAAGAGAATGCTTTAAATAGAAGGACCAGGGGTTGTAGGTTAGTCACTTGAAATAGATTCATGAAGAGGAATTGTGTAGTCTCTTTTCCTAGAGGTTTTTAATATGATTAGGCACTGATACATTTTTAGATTCATTTGAATCTTGGCTACGGGAATGACTTTTCAATCAGAACTCTATTCCTTTGGCTTGTGAAACACTGTGCTCCTCTATCAGACAATCTACTTCCGTAGAGATCCCGCCTTGGAAACCCAAGGAGGGGACGCTATGAGTCAAATGGACTTGATGGCAGTGA